CCCCCCCCCCCTCCTCCTCCCCTCCGCCCCTCTCCCCTCCTCCCCTCTCCCCTCTCCCCACCCCACCTCCCCTCTCCTCCTCCTTGTCTTCCTCCCACCTTCCCTCCCTCCCTCCCTCCTCCCTCTTCGCAAGTTCGACTCCGTCCTGTCGTCGCTCTTTGGCATGCGGTTAGCGTTGCGTATCTTGCGGCCGCACTCGCTCACTCTCACTCTCACTCTCACTGTCTCACTGTCTCACTGTCTCACTGTCTCACTGTCTCTCTCTCTCTCTCTCTCATCTCTCTCATCTCTCTCATCTCTCTCATCTCTTTCTCATCTCTCTCATCTCTCTCTCCTCTCTCTCTCTCTCTCCTCTCTGTCTCTCGTCTTTCCGTCTCTCTTCTCTCTCTTCTCTCGCAGGAGGATCCGGGCAAAGAGCCACATATAAAGGACTCTTCACCCCTGCCTCCAAAAAGAGCGACGTGTTTTTTCCTACCTCGCTGCCCTCCACTTTCCCATTCTGGAGCGCTAGCTTTCGCCCCCCCCTTGGCCTCAAGTAAATATCTGATGCCACCATATGTTGAACACCAATTTCCGGACATCACGTATCCGGATGCAAACATGTTGCTGGCATGTCCGAATGGGAGGAAAAAGGTGGACATCGTTGGCATGCTGAACCGAAGCGTTCCGAATGTGTTCAGTTTGCTGTTTTCCCGAACCTGATGAGTTGGGAGTTCATTTGGTGAATGGCCTGCTTACCTCCTATCTCATTTCCTTTTGACCAGGGTATTTTCAAAAAACCCTTAGTTTTAAGGTTATGTGTTAGGACTTACCGCCTGGGTCCAAGTCCCAACCCATCTTCCCCCAGTATATATATATATAAGTATATAAGAATTCTGCACACGTCCCAACATGCAAAGACAATCAGCTTCTCAAAGACAATCCAGATGCTAGCTTTGCAAGTGCACTCAGTATGATTTCAGAATTCTTTCCTGTGAGAGCACTTCTATACACGTGCTTGTACACTCTTAATTTCAATCCTTCATTCACATCAGAATACCCTCCTTTCTTAGACTTCTGATGAAGATTGTGAAACAAGATAATCTTCAGCTGCAGCCACTATCTGTCTATATACTGTATTTGTTGCATAACCTCTGCTGAGCTTCTTCGGCAGATCTGGCACATCTGTAACTAGCAATGTGAACTCTTTATTCTGGTGTGATACTTGATATGGCAATCAATGCCAAGAGACTTAGCGGCCTTGCCAAGCAACGAGTATCATCAGAACCGAACCTTTCAAGATTCATTGAGCAACCGAACTACGTGGAAAACCGTGCTTGTTTTGTCTAGGTCTAAGCACCAGTCTAAACAAATAGGTTGGTGAAGCTGTATCTCCTGGGGAGACCTGCGGGACTGATTCCGAGCCATCTGATGGAACAACGCTAGAGAAAACAATCCATTCCCAACCGACTGAAAAAACTCACCGCTACAAGTCCCACGTTACAATTGAAAGGGCTGTTATACCGCAAACAAAAACAGATGCGACATCATACCATGAAAACGATGACAATCTAATTGCAACGATGACAAAAAAGACCCATGAACATCATATCATCATCCATGGAACATTAACAGCACGAAACCACCACGCGACTGAGGGAACTGCGGGCCACGAGAAACATGCATGATATCTCAATTGGGCCATGGGCACTGCTGCAGAGAAACTAAAACTGGATGAATCTTCTCGTGTCACCGGTGCATGTGATTGCCTGTGATTTGTTTCATGTTTGTGGATCTCCTACATGTTCCAAGATCCCCTTTTTGCTCAGCTCACAGACCAAGTCAGGTATCCATTTGATTCGCACTGTCTCGCGGCTTAGTACCCACTTGCGCATCATTGCTTGTGATTCCCAGGGACGCTTCAAGGATCCTGCCCGGTGAAACTGTCGGGCGGGGATCTGGAGGAACTCACTTTGAGAGGTTGTGCGCAAAGACTCGAGACTACTCCACTGCGGCTGTTCGAAAAATGCATGTTTCGAACGCAGGATTCATGACGGACCCAAGTCACCTGAAACCCGAAAGTTGTGCTCTTCGGAACTCCCCTTCGTATTCTTTGACTCAGCTAGCGCCAATATGGCTCAGTGTCAGCTTTCCAGAACTCACGACCCCAAACCAAGGTTTATATACTGACCGAACGTTTCAGTGTAGAAAGGCTAGGGTGGCCACTCCCAGCTAGGCACAGCAGGATCATCGAAGCCACCTTCTTATGGGGATCTATTGGGTCAAGCAAATAGACAAGCTAACCCGAATGTTCCAGTCATTGAAGCTGCACATCCTGGAGTTGTTGAGCCCATGCTTGTTTGCATTGCTCGGATGTGCTTAGGGCGACTCAGACCTCTCGAAGTGGGCATGTCTCGCAGAAGTCGAGCGACTTCTCTAGAGCCCAGAGGATGCTGAAAATTGAGTGCAGGAGTCGGAAGTGAAGTGTGCGTTTTGTTTACTTGCTGTATAAGAAATGCTGCATGAAAATGGGGGAACTAACGTTCGCATCAGGATGGCACAGCTCATGTGACATTTTGCCAACTACCAGCCAGGGATACATTCGCACACTTTGAGCCACACGTTGCTGCATGTTGCCAGGTGTACAAGGGCTTGAACACCGCCACCAAGGAGATTTGGGGAATTGTTTGTCGCAATTCGATTAGCCAACAATTTTTGCCAGAACTTCGATTGCACCCTTTGAGGGCAACAAGGCCTTCTTGGTTTCTCAATCCCTTCAGTGATCTTGAGGGATTCTTGGTTGAAGTTATTAGTTAATATTGCACACTTTCAAACATGCTATGGTTTCCTCTCCTATTGGTGGACTTGGACCTGCCCCGTCGCACTGAATTGAATTTGCGCTCCAGGAAGAAGCTGCCATCAAGTTTGAGGCGGGCCAACCGTTCAAACATGTCGATGACCAGAGTCGTGGTAGTTGCTACTCTAGGTCAGTTGATGGGTTAATTGCGATATATTGTGAAGATGCTAGGGATTCCAAGTGCCAGGCACTCGGAGTATTCAAAGGGACTTTGAAGAATCCTCAAAGGATACAGCCAGAAACGTGAGAATCTTGTTATAAGGCAGTGTCGGTGCTGCCATTTGCCACCATCAGTTGTCCCCATACTGTAGGGTTTTGTTGATCATGGGAAGCAATGGGCCACACGAGCATTGTGAATGTTCAGCAGGCGGTCCACAATGCATCACCTCAATTGCGGCATGAGGTGGGGCCCAGGGACACTTGCAGTAAGTTCAATAAGGCATTCGTCATTGCTGGCCAAGAAATGGACTCATTGTTCAGAATACCCCAAACCAGGAGAAGAAGCTTCCATTTGCGTAATAGATGTGTTTCTAAAGGAGGCAAATCTTCTGAAATGAGTGCATCCTCAGCATGTTCCAACAGTCGCTCTGTGTTTTTCTAATTGTTCTCGTGCTGGATGCGCAGGCGGAGATGTTGGCCATGTTTAGCACCTCGGGCCCGCAGGGCTTTGCCAAGTTCTTCCACTTCGCCCAAGAGGCGTCTTTTCGTGCCCACGATGCCGAAGTGACACCAACAGCTTCCCGAAGCTTATTATTGGGCGGGTGAGCAAGCTATTTTGGGTTGAGGCCTTGAGGATTATGGCTCGATACAAGTGACAGTAGAACGTTTGGGCAAGATGTGTTCTGTTCCAGTGCCGCGGCATTCAGCACAGCTTTGTCCATGGTACTCTTCTCGCGAAAGGATTTGGGACTGTCAACAAAGACGTTTAATGGGTCATAGACAGTAGGCTTTTGCTGGATTTCCGTCCGGAGCTAGATTCGACTGCAAGTGAGGGCTTCAAATCACATTATACTGGTTGCTGGAGCCACTATCCAGCTTCCCCTGCAGTGGACACAGAATACACTGTTCATTAGCTAGCTATAGAGATCGGTCACAGTCAGAAAAAGGTTTTCTCAAGTACCATCCACAGTTTGGACCTTCAGGTAGCTTCTGTAAACCTCTGAGTTCACAGCTGCCAGGGCAGCTTCAATTGTCTCGCGATGGAATTTCTCGGCAAAAGCCTGGAAGACCATGTCCAAATGTCAGGGCTCCTCAGTTGCTCAGCTAGGTAATGAGTGAGGATGTGCCGCGGGAAGCACGCATACTCATGCGGTTTCAAGACCAAAACAAAAACAGGTACACAAAGAGTTTGTAGCTCACTACGTTCGCTTCCACACTTCTTCTCTGGCTGAGGGTATATGCATGTCAACATCATCAGTGTTCGTGGTGTTCATTCGAACACCTTGCATAAAAATCCGCTGACTATTCGATTGAAGGTCATGGACAAATGTGTATGCGAAAGACACAGCCAGTGGAGAAATCGACTGGTGAAAAAAGAGCATACAGCCTCGAAATACACATCTGGAAGGCCAGAGGAATGTCCAGGCTCCCGACAGTGGAAGCTGAAAGCCCCAAAAGGCACGACAGATCATACTGTTATCTACTTTCAATACCAGATTGATACTCTTCTCCCCGCGAGTATCCATCCGCCTCCCCATGCCTCCACCCCGCTTTGTTTCAGTGACACAGGTGCGGAGGCAAATTCAAGCCAAAGACAGCCTGTTTGGTCGCTCAGCAGGCAAGAACTCTTGCGCTGGCTTGACTACCTTACTCCCTGACCAAGTGGCTAACACACTGTGGCCAATAGGTTCCATGTGCACTTGGGGAATAGTCCAGAGTTGTTGATTGAAGGACGGATTCCACAAATCACATTGATTCTAACTCAGACTTGGAGGGCTTCGGCATCGCTTTGGCCAGAGCCAAGCCCAGCCTCAAGCTACATGACCATGTGACCTATGGCAGATCATTCCTGAGATTGGTCCTTTCAAGCTTTACCTTGTGACAGATCTTGATCCGCATCGAGTACTTGCATTCTCGAGGCGGTTGGGAGTTACATAATGGGCTTAGTTTTAAGAAATATCAACTAGTCAAGGACGGCTTCCTCAACATCCTGGCTTGTGACTTTAAGGGTGTTGACGGCTCTGGCGCTTCCTTGAGACACATGGATGACAGATCCTGGTGAAACCTAGTTTGCAACTCGGATTCGGACATGTTCCAAGATGAAGGCATGGGCTCGACAACCCACCCCGTGGGCCCCTTGCGACCGAGAGAGGAACGCTTTGTCTTGAAATGCTTAAAAGGCTTCTCAAGTCCAGCCTCAAGATCTGCTCGCACCAAATCATTGCGAATTTAGTGCGTTTTCCAGGCAAGGTTTCACATGAAATGTCGTGATGTGCGATGCGCTGGTTTCAGTGAAAATTGCAGATGTGCTAGAGCGCCAGGAATTGTTCATCGAGCCACTTGGCAAAGCTTGATCGATGATGCTGACGCACGTCCCGACATGTTCTGCGACTGTCCCCGGAATTGTTGGTCAAGTACTGACTTCAAGCCAGACAGATTGTGGATTCTATCTAAGCTAAAAAGCATGTCATAGGTTATAGGCGCTTTTTGATCACTTCCAGGATTCCAGGACTTCTGATCAACATTTGGATAGTTAGCGCCAACGAGAACATGGCGTGGTGTACCTGGCTCCAAACCGGCTTGCTAGTGTGGAAGACTGCACATGCAGAATTAGAGTTCCCAAGTCACTTGAGTTCCCAAAAGCGTCATTTTGACAAACGAGTGAAATGAGATGAAATGAGTGAAGCAAGGATATCAAGCCGGAGAACTTCATGTGGGGTGTGGGCACGAAGTTGCCGGGGCACCCAGTCGCCAGACGCCAAACAGGCGCCAGTTGGACTTTGTAATGCAACTTGTACAAATGTCTAGATGTGGACTCAAGTCTCGATAGAGTAACTGAGAGTAGCTGGATGATTGGAGCAAGTGAAGGTCTCATTCAAGAGGACAATGCAAGAAGAAGAGCAGATATTGAGGGCTTTCATGATTGGACACCGGAGAAGTGCTTGCTTAGATTGACACCTCAATTTTGTTTGGAGGTTTTGGTAGGATGAATCTAGCGGTTGGCACGAGTGTCTCCCACAAATGGATCAATTTGCCTTGCAAATGTCAGACAGAGACCTGTTGATGGATAGTCTTGATCATTGTGAGCCAACTGGTATATTGACACAGTCGAACAGTTTGAGACGGCTTGACTGGATTGTGTCATGAAGGAAGGTGCAAGTGGTCCAGGAACGCATGAGTGACTTGTTTTGAGGCATCACCTTTATATCATTGACTTTGGGCTTAGCAAGAGGCTGGCGTCGGTTGAGGAGCCAAGGGTCTATATAATCATAGTAATAGTTTCCATCATGATGTGTCATTTGTTGCCACCGTCAGAGACACTGACAGGAACATGCACAGCTGTCCAGAAAGCTGCCACAAGCAAACCTGTCTTGGATCGTTTGACAATCCATTATATACAGCACGTGGATAAGAAACACCTGAGCATACCTGAGCTAGACATATTTTATTGCACATTCGAACGCGACGAGCTTTCTATCATCTACAGCTTCAACAGGCTTCCTTGTGCTCATACCCCGCGCAGAGCTCTCTCATGGATACGAACTCTCGCTTTGGCAATGTCAAAATAGCTGGGGCATTTGTCATCTAAAAAGAGAAGGTACAGGCATAAAGGCCTCTTTTGGAGACCTTATATAACTTGTATACCTTCTTTGTTCATCTCGTTTGGCGATCCTTCCAGATCCTCTGATGGTGAGGTTTTGGGACAAACGCCATGTGCAGAGCGCACAAAAGCTGAGCCTCACTGGCACGGCAAGGCCTTGGGAAGGGACAGTAGCATGGAAGTACATCCAACTCATATCATGCAGTTTGTTCCGATTTCCCTATTTTTATAGAAGGTTGGAGAAATCAACCCCAAGAACCAAATTGCTGGGTGGGAATAGAGTTTCATAACGCTTCTCAGTTTTCTGGCTTCACAGCACTGAGCCATTTGTTGTTGCTAGTGCTATCGTTCTGACAGGTTTGGTGAATTGGGTGGGGCCTATTGCTTGCTCAGGGCACAAATGGGTGACTGGTCAGTGGAAAGTCCATGAAGGACGAAACAGGAGCTCTGTCCAGGCGGCTTGGTTCATGTCCAAAGCCAGACTCGCCGCCAAAACCACTTGCTCGAGGTATGCCTCCTTGAATGCTCATCGAGGATTCGAGCAGAGCAGGAGGGATGACTTAGAGGCCTGCGTAGCCTTGAGCAAACTTGCATACCACAGAAGTTCCTTTTGGAACCTTGAGGACGTTCACACATCTTCTGTGAAGCGCTTTCACCATTAGGGGAGGAGTCGAGAATCCCTCCAGCTTGGACTACGACACCATCGAGAGTCCATGAAAGGTCACCGTTAGACAACTCAAGAGCCAAGAGCCCAACAGCTCGAGAAGAAACTCACTTTCTTTGCATGTCCCATCTCTTCAAGGCCATCGGGCACATGCTCATGTACTTCCTCCGCTCTTCACTTCCCTGGTCGGGGCTGGATGCCAGGACGAAGAAGGCCTGTGGGTCCAAGAAGTAGTTCAATGCTGAGCAACCTAGTTTACACTACTTCTTCAGAGCGGTTCAGGTGCTCTGAAACAAAATGCAGCAGCAGCAGCAACAACAACAGCAACAACACAAAGAACAGCAACAACGACGACAACAACAATGCTGTGAATTTCCGAGCGTGGCAAGCTCCACTCGTTTTGCCAATGGGCTTAAACCGCGTGTATAGTGAAGATGTTTTTGCATATGATGATTTTGTTCGCCTTCTTGGATATTTTATGCTATTTTTGTCTATCCCCTTTGCTGCTTTGCTTTGTACGGGGTTGGGTGGGAGGGCCTGGGGACAGTGACGTTCTTCAATCATTGTATTTGATACTTTTCTATTGACATGGAGCAAATTGTCCAGATTTTGCACGCAACATTGTTTCGATTGAATTCTATATGTGGCATGCGCTGCGATTTTGGCTTGGAGGACATGACGGGGGTAACTTTCGAGTTTTTTGTGTTTGTCGTTTGTTCTTTTGTTACGTTTGTCTTGGCTTGAGGTGTCGTTTTTTTGAGGACTTCTTCGTGTCAGATCTCTTGTTCTTGGATGCACACAGTGATGTTTGCTCCTGGTTCCCTGATCCCAGCCCGCCTTTTATCCAGGAGGTTATATACATTGTTGAACTGTCGGTCACCACCACGCAGTCGCACGATTTGACATCACCCCCAACATTTGGAAACATATTAGACGATATTAGACGTTTTGGCGAAAGTTTGAGCAAAAGACTCGCCCAGATCGCTCGAAACCTGAGGTTCGGCACGCTTTCATCAAATAACCGCAACGCATTTTTGCTGCTTTCAAACACGTGCATTATTATATAATCAGAAGACTTGGAAGGATTGAGCACTGGGTTGCCCACAGCACATCCGTTGGATTGGGTGGGCGCGGCTGTGGGAATGCTCACCACTGCATGAGCCCGGCGGGTCGATTTGTTGAGGCCCTAGGGGCATTGCTACTAGGAACAGGAAGCTACTAGGGGCTCCTGGCCTTACTACTAGGAGCAAGGACGCTACTAGGGGCTCCTGGCCTTACTACTAGAAGCATTCTTGCTACTAGTAACAAAGAGCATCGCTACTAGGAGCAAGGACGCTTATAATGCTTTTGTGGAGCCAAGCCACTCCGGTCCAATATGGACAGCGTTTGCCACGTTAGGACCACTATGGACCACTGCAGAGTCAACAAACCCAAAAGTCCGAAAAGACTATGATAACTCCAAGAGTGTTAGTGTTTCCTGATAGTACAACAAAGGACTATCGCCATTTCTAAGGCGATACTAGTGGGCTTGGTGAGTTTGCTGAGTCTGCCAGGAGAAATACCAAAAGATAAAGGAGAAGAAGGCACAGTTTTTGAACGCATTTCTCTTAGCCTGTGAGAGACGCTTCAAAGTCGTAGAGCATGTGGAACTGTTCCATTGGCAAGCTTCCTGCTTTCTTCGAAGCCCCAAAAAGAGAAGTTGTCATACGACGATGTCAAAGGCAGACGATGTCAGGCACAACCCAAGTAGCAATGGGGACTTTACTAAGAAAACTCAGAAGCTACTAGGGGCTCCTGGCATCGCTACTAGGAGCAAGGACGCTGCTACTAGGGGTTCCTGGCCTTACTACTAGGAACAAGGACGCTAGGACGCTGCTACTAGGGGCTCCTGGCCTTAGTACTAGGAACAAGGACGCTGCTACTAGGGGCTCCTGGCCTTACTACT